GCCCAGCCCTCCTCAGTTATAGGTAATTATTGACTCGATTAATTTTATGTGAATAAATTTGCCTTCTATGTTTTATGTAAATACTAACGTAAATCGTAACTTGGCTGGTAAAAACGTTTTCGCCCCGGAATGAATTTCGCTACACTGAGCAGGTAAGTGACCTATTTTAAATATACTAGACATACACTACAACTTTCTAATTTATTCGTTGCGGACTCATTCGAACGCTCTGCGGACTCATTTGAGACCGCGGACTCGGGTTGGGAAACACTGAGCTAGACGAATGTCAACATTAAGACGGTTTATAAATTTTGTTTTTGTGGTAAGAAAAATTGGCTTTTGCTCTGACAGAAACCCGAACTTAGTCAATGTGCGTTCCTGTCAAATCTAACTCGCTTGGCAGCAAAGAAACCGATGCCAACGTCTTTCACCGGGGGTGATTTTTGTTGCGGTATTTTGGAGTTCAGATGGCCGTAATGATTTAGTGCTCATTACATACAAGCAATGCCAGTATTAATCACATTCTTTGGCATCTCAATTTACTTTGGTAAAGTCAACGGAACTGTTGTTGTTAGTACATCTTTCTGTGCTTGAAGGCCCAGGATCGCAGCTATTCATGTGTTCATTCAGAACGATACTGTAGTTCAATTTTCGTAATTGCGTCTATAATACGCTAGCGAAGTTTATCTCGCAGTCGAATGGAACTGTCATTCTGTAGGTTAGACCAGACGGCCTACCGGCGAACTATTTTCATTGGTAGATTTCAAATTCCATTATCATCAAACAATTCACGCACAAGAAAGTGAATACACCCTGTGATCGCAAATAATCCTATTCAGGTTAAAGATAAAAAAAATTTCCAGAAGGCTATTACTTTTTTTTCGCTATGACGTCATCAAAATTATTGCCACTGGGTGGCACTACGTGTCCATATATTTGAGCATAGCTCTCTTGTTTATTCATGAGTCTCAAGCCATACCTCACTGTTGCCGTTTCTTTCACAAGCTGCGAATAACAAAGTCAAAACTTAAGTTGATAAAGTTTTACTTGAGATCGACTATGGGAGAAAGCAGGCTGCCTGTGCCAGCAATACGCCCATTGAAATTGATTTAGTCGAGACATTACCTTTTGACGATATAATTTCTGAATTTGCTTCAATGAAAACTAGACAAGAGGGCAGACCTTATGTTGATGTCTGTGAGTACTCTGGAGGTGTCCTCCTCCACTACAGGGGTGGTGACTCCTCTACGACCCATGGGCCGGGGCCACGGCCCATCTAATTGGGCCACATGGGCCGTGGCCCATCAAGCTATGGGCCGCGGCCCCGTCAGGAAAAATTCAATTATCTTACCAAAATTTTCAATTTTTACAAAATTGTCAATATTCGAACCAAAAAATAAACTCCTGTAGTATGTGTACCAGGTTAGGGTTAGGGCAAAATTTTGTTCAGATTTTTTACATTATAGTTCTATTATGAGTTTGGGGACTGTCTGTGTTAGCCAAGTGAATAGTTTCTTTACACAACTTGATGGGCCGCGGCCCATAGCCTGATGGGCCGAGGCCCAATTTGATGGGCCGTGGTCCCGGCCCATGGGCCGAAGAGGAGTCACCACTCCCACTCCTCCTCCATGTTTAATATCAGAAGGACAGCACCAGAAAGACAAAGATACTGAAAAACCAATCATGACGCAACTCGATGCCGACAAACTCGAAAGAAATCGGGCAAATAGGCTTCAGCTCTAGTCAACAATGTCTGTTACAGTTAGTATTTATGTTTATCATGCTAAGTGTTGTTATGTAATATGGCAAATATAACGCGACAGAGATGAGAAGGAAAAGAAGACCCTGTTGAGGAAGGATGTATATATCTTTTGGGTGGCACGCACCCACACAAATGACTATATTACCCGGACACTGGAATACAGCCAGAAAAAGCCATCAGTCCTTTTTACAACCTATAAACTTGTGCAAACCAGATGGAAAGAACTCAAAAGGACCGAGTCCGGACAAGAATTCCCCTGGGATATTCTAATTCTAGACGAGGGTCATAAAATCAAAAATCCTTCCAAAAAACAAAGGCTGCACATTATTCCTTCTAGGAATAGACTGATTCTTACTGGTTAGTTGTTCATTTTGTTGAATAAATCAGGTGGTTTCTCTAAGTTGAAGTGTCTATCCAAAATTAGAGGATAACCTAGAATCAGAGTTATAAAGGGTGGTGGTTTCAAACTGCAATGAAGTACTTGAACAAGCCTATAATACTATATTTGCATTATTGTCTGTTAAAAATATTATTAAAATAGTAAGCGCGTTGTTTCATTGTTTTTTTTTAATCGTATATAGTATGAGTTTCAATGGAGTCTGTATTTCCCACTTTTACAGTAAGCTTTGTTCTGAAGGCCAACAGGTCCTTTTTTATTTTCGCAGTAAGGGGATAAATTAACTCAGCGAGCGTATTTTTTTAAAGCAGAAAAAATTCATTTGCATCTATTTTGCGCATCAATATCCATTAATATAAAACAAAGTGTATTAAAGCAAAGCATTTGCTTAAATTTGCCTCCTATATTTGAAATTAACTGACGTCAATATCTGTATTTTCAAAAACAACATAACAAGCACATTCGTGAAAGTAAAAACGAATTAAAGAACTGCCAGTTTATTCAAAAACTTTCTGCGTCGAGAATATTTTAAATGATTTTAATCCGGAACTATTGACGGAAGTTCGGTGAAATTAAAACTGCAATTGTATTATAAGTGATTATTTTCACAAACAATAGCTCGTATAATCGACAGAAACAAGTCCAAGAAACGAATTGAAGCACGGTCAACAATTATCATAAAAAATCCACTCGATATCGATTAACGGAAAAGCGAAAACACCAAGGACCATGAGACGACGACAAATAGAAAATCCGTCTTTAATTGCTTGGTTATAATACGTAGTGGATATAATATGCAAGTAATGAACATGTACTGGTGTTGTTTAAAGATAACCTGTTGATGTTGCCACAGAAAAATTTATGAACATTTACAAACAAGAATGCTCAAATATATGGACACGTAGCGCCACCCAGTGGCAATAATTTTGATGACGTCATAGCAAAAAAAAGTAATGTGCTTTTGGAGAAAAATTTTATCTTTAACCACTGAAAATATCAAAGCAATGGGTCCAGTATTCGAAGAGAAAAGCGATTTTTTAAAAATGGAGACGGAGACAAATAACAATAACAACAAAATTTTGAAACGATCGTTATGTCCACTAAACGTGTCCAATAAGTGGAAGATATGAACATGGGTATACCCCTCCGATGCAGAATAAATTTTCAAAACATACATTTTTTTATCTTATTGGCAATTTTTTGATGATTTTGAATTAAATGCCCCGCCTAAAGCGGACGTATGGTAAGCCTAGTCATGGGATAAGTTAATCGGTTATTTTCTTCAGATTCCTGGTCTCGATGGTGGAAGAAGTCGTAACCGACCAGCGGCTAAGTAAACCACCCTGCACCAGCGAGGATTCCAGCAACCCCCCCCCCCCCCCCCCCCCCCCGCACGTAATTATCCCCCGCCAAATTCAAACCCGTGCAGAGTAATCAGCGGTACTGTGAGCATGTGACCAGCGTGTTTCTAGCGTGGTGTTTCACAGTAAAACCAAATTAGCTATGTTTAATATTTTGACAAAAATCTCATTCTAACATGGACATAAAGCACTAACTGAAATTCAACCCAAAGCAGGTAGTTTTGAAACCCAAACCAAAAGATGGTCCCTGGTATTATGACGAAGCCCAAAAACGTTGGGTTATAGGTGAATCAATCGCTCACGAATAGCGTTGGAAAAACAGTTTGTTTTAAAAAAAATAAAACATTTTTTTTTTCGGAAACCGCGCAGGTTATAGGTTTGATGGAAAGCGTATCGTTCATCGGGGTGCGCTGAGTCCAGCTTCACGTTTACTGAAAACAAATACAAAAAATACCATAATCCGATTTTTAGTCGATATATAATTGGAAGTAGATTTCAGAAAATCTTGCTTTGATCCCGGATAATATTATATATGCTATTTATGATCATATGCATTATTCGTATTTACAATTAAATGAGGGCCATTTTCGAATTCGGCATCCAATCATCGATTTCGTACCAAAGATAAAAAAAAAATTGATTTCTTGTGAAAAATATTAAAAATTTGTTCTGCTGGTGATCACACACCATGGTGTTGACCACTTGAGTCATACATGTAAACGAAATCATTGTCAAAAGTTGTCGGAAAATAGAATAACATATTCGAATTTGGTCTCAAACCTTACCATTTGTATTATTCAGGTATTTTATAATAACCATTACCAGCTAACAGATCTTTTGCTCTGCGTTTTTTTTTTTTCGGAATTCTTAATTCTGTGTAGGATCCATTTCTTCGCAAGAAAAATTATTGTAAGTTATTTTATTCCGCGTGGGAACCGGTTGAAAACTGCAGAATAATTTTCCGCTGAAATTCCGCTGGATTCACAGTGGTCGTAAAAGTGTTTTGTGCAAAATCGACCGTTTGGGAATACAGGAATTCAATTAAATATGATGAACTAGATAAAATGCAGTGTAACATGAGAGCCATTTTTAAATGCAAAGTAATAGGGATGATGAGATTAATGAAGAATGAGGAAAGAAATGACTTGCTTAGAAATGATCATATGGACTACATAATTAATAAATCGATCATGTTGTGACACCCATTGTTCCCATCTGTGTTCACTTACAATATTGAAAATATGTTAACCAAGTTGCGTACATAGACATCAGATGTAGAGATTACCTAGGGCATGATGGGTAATTGTCTGATTTTTTGTCTAATCCTTCTATAATCTTGTTTTTTCATATGGAATGCTAATAATGAATAAATCGTATGATATGAATGCTGGTATTGGAAATGTGTATTCAAATGGACACTGGATTAATTGTATCACAAACATGGACAAAAAAAAAACTGGATCTAATGGCATGGGTAAATGTATCTTTATTTAATATTTGTAATTATTTATCTGTATATTGTATACTTGTAAAATCACATCAATTATATGCAAAATTGGAATTCATGCAACTAAATTGAAATCATGTATTTGGATAACCAAAAATATCATATTCATAAATCCAAATTGGCAATGGATTTTAATTTGGCCACCCAAAAAAATAAATAAAAAAAGGTCGTAAATCATTGTTTACTGATAGCCTCATACCGGTACTGATTCATACTCTGTTAACATCGTATTGGAAAGCTGATGTTTTCAGAATTCAACACTCACAGCGAGACAAAGTGATTGATAGGGTTAAGGTAATTGTTTATATATTTTATAGTGATAACTCGATAATCACATACCGGTACCTTATTTTGGAGTGGGAGTGGTGACTCCTCTGCAGCCCATGGGCCAGGGCCACAGCCCATCGAATTGGGCCAATTAGAAATTTTGTTAAGATAATTGAATTTTTTCTGATGGGGCCGCGGCCCATCAAGCTATGGAACACGGCCCATGTGGCCCAATTAGATGGGCCGTGGCCCCGGCCCATGGGCCGTAGAGGAGTCACTACTCCTGTAGTTATTTTGAGGACCATAAGGGCACTAAATATCTCTCCTGTTTTTCACAAAAAACGGGTTCAATGTAGTTTCGTACTTTTAGTGGGCGCAAAATAACAATCTTTGCATATGTCAATCCTAACCCCCACCTGACTGTGTCATCTGCTCTTTGCCTTGGGACACCAGAGTGTAAAAAGTTTTCAAATCACTGAACTTCAAAGCAGGGCTACTCACTGACTCAACTATTTTAGATCCATATACAAAACTAAAAATTATTGGAGTCCGGTCTTTCCGAAAATTATATTTCGACATCTTTTAAGGCGCATTTCCTCAGCCGGCTGTCAATTATTCCAGTATTCGCTAATCAAGATTGTTTCCAGAGATGGCCAATACCGAATAGTTCACTATTTCGAATACATTCGAAATTATTTTTTTCGAATATGAAATTTCGAATACTTCGAAAATAAAATCCACTAATTGAAGCTTATCTAAATGTATGTAGGAATTTCCATACAATAAGCAATGGAATAACTGCTATCTACAAGTTACAACCTAGCTATATTACCAGGCATTTCATATTTGCAGATTATTGCAGTATATATTTTTTATACCATGAGTCATGTTAACAGAATTAAATTAATACGGCAATAGTGGTATCAATGATGGATTTGAATATTTGCGCAACACAAAATCATCCTAGTAAAACACCCATACTTTTAAATACCAACCATTATCCAAATTATTTGCCAAAAAGCGGGATAAAGTATGACTTATTTTTCCGACTTGTGACAATTTTTTTCGTGAGTACAAAAATACGAATCAAAAATTAATTATATTCGGGAACTTTACCACACATTCTAAGTCCGAAGATCGCCGTTGTATGTTTGAGTAATAATACTTTTATTATTTTATAAATTTGAAAATAGGAATCAAAAACTATTCATAATCGGGTAGTTTACCACAAATTCTAAGTTCACAGATCACCGTTGTATTTTGTAAATACGAAAATAGGAATCATCAATTAATATTAATCGCGAGTTTGCCACACAATTTATGTCCACAGATTGCCGTGATATTGTGCCGAATATATTTAGTTTTTGATTCTTATTTTCGTACTCACGAAAAATTGTCACAAGTCAGAAAAAGACTTTATACTTTATCCCGCTCTTGGGAACTAATTTGGATAATGGTTGCCATTGGTTTGTATTTAAAAGTATGGACTTTTTACTAGGATGATTTTGTGCTGCGCAAAATATTCGAATCCATGACCGATACCACTATTTAAAATGCCTTACCATGTTAATTTAATTCTATTATCATAACTCAAATGTTGGTAAATCGGGCAGTTTACCACACATTTCAAGGTCACAGATCGCCGTTGCATTTTAGAATTATAATAGTTTTATTATTTTGTAAATACGAATCCGAAATTAATTATAATTGGGCAGTTTACCACGTATTTCATGTCCACAAATACCCGTGGTATTTGCTATCAATACTTTCATTATTTTATCAATATGAAAATAGGAATCAATATTTAATAAAATCGGTCAGTTTACCACACATTTTATGTCCACAGATTGTCGATACAATCATGAGTTACGTTGAACAGAATTAAATTAATACGGCATGACATTTTAAAAGCTGGTACCAGTCATGGATTGCATTATTTTGCGCAACAAAAAATCATCCTGGTAAAAGATCGATACTTTTAACTATCGTTATCAGAATTATTTGCTAGAAATTATTTTCTAATAAATCGACTTGTTTTTCCAACTTGTGACAATTTATTGGACATCGTAACAATGACGGCTATAAATACCGTATTTCCCGGCTAATAAGTCCACATGGCAAATAGGACGATGTCTATTTTTAGCACTCAAAAAAGGGGTTTTTTCACATAGGCCTCCAATTAGACGGGTAGAAAAATTGAGTCCCTGTTGTTCAGTTATGCTGATAATAATTTTATATGTTTAGAACTAGATCATGTTAGTTTGGTAGAATCATACTCACAGAATTACGGTAACTACTTTTAACAATTGAGCGGTAAATTTAAGTTGGAAAGCGGTAACTATTTTGGACAACCTATTAACCCGAATGTTGAAATAATTTTGGAATGTGATAAGTAATACACTCACTGTACGTCCACGGGTAATTTGATAGCTGTGTTTTTTTGTCCCTGTCGTGTTTTGCTGATTCGGCAAAACAAAAGGGTCCCAAATCACTTTATCTCGGTGGTCGTGTTTCTCTTTAAAGTGTCGATAACCGGCCTGCGATTAAATATCATGATTGGCAGACCCTAAGACCCGAATATAAGGTTACACAAATCATGCTTGAGAAGACTCATGCAAATAATAAGCAGGCCACATAGAAATAAAATAATTTCGACGTCAAATTTTCGACGTAATGGAAATGAATTTGTAAATTAAAAGCCTCGTAAACGAATGTCGGCAATGTCTACCCAAGAATTAGGTGCGATCCGAATCCAATGCTCAGAATGTCTGGATTCGGACCATGATTCACCAGATGAGTAGCCCTGCCATGTAGTATTTGAACAAAAACTTGAGATTTGACACGAGTTTGAAACCCCTGTTTTACAGATTTTCTTTGTTTTCCAGATCTCAGCTCTGAGCTGCCACAGACTATGTAGATCATGTTGGGGTTTATTCAAAGAAGGTTCGAACTTTTGTGTGTTTTTTGCAATAATTTTCAAAAGTGAGTTCTGAAATTTGTAATCGCCAAGTTAGACTGTAAAGGCTAGCTGGTCTGGAAAACGTTTCAAGAGTCTTGAGGGTCTAAACAGCGTTTCAAGCTACAAATATGTATGCTACAGAATATGCCTTTATTCTCATTTTAAGAGGGGGGTCTGACCCCTCCAACCCCGCCCCCTAGCTACGCTCATGGTGCAATCACTGGGGATTAAGCGTCACCACGGCAACAATGCTGGGTGAAACAGTCAATTCCCAACCCACCATTATATTTCTACATTTTTTTGACCCACACATATCAGGATTTTTGTCTGTTCATCTATTGGATATTATCAGATCAAGTTTGATGATGGCATATAATACCGGTACTCCCTGAAGTATGTGAAACAAGATGGCGGACACCGGAACGTAGTATGTGTACCAGATTAGGATTAGGCCATAATATCAGTTACAAATACTACTGGACTCACCTGGCTAGTCCTCGAGCTCGTAATAGCCTAACCCTGACCTGGTACAGTCCGCAACCTTGGTTCACATGCTTTGAAAGTACCGAAATATTGACATGTACGATACAGAGACAAGCTCTTATTCTCATTTTAAAAAGGGGCCTGATTCCAACCCCCTTCCGCTGGCTACACTCCTAGTCCAATCACTGGGGTCACTACGGCAACAATGCTGGGTGAAACAGTCAATTCTCAACCCACCATTATATCCCTACATTTTTTTAACCCAACACTTATCATGATTTTTATCTCTTCATCTATTTGGATATTATCAGATCAAGCCAAACACCATTTATTATTAATTCCAATTGTTTTATAATTGTTACGTAATGACAATTTCTCATTCTAATCGGAAACTGTATGCAACATTTGGAAGTGGTGGGTGGTAACTCACTGGTTGGGATGTAAAGAAAGCTCATGAATATGGAAACTAGGTTATTAAGGGTTCTTGAAAAAGATTTTGTTGATTTATTGCTTGTTGAGTCCAGTCATAGAAATATTTTCTGTTTCCATAGTTCGATCCGAAGTCACAGACAATGGAAGCAAGGATGAAGTTTATTGAAAAAAGGTTTGGACTTTTGTTCTCTGTCTATGAAACAGGATATGATTTACAAATTATCCCGAGGAAAGGAAAGTTGATAAAACAGCTTAACCATATGGCGAACCACAGCCTCTCGTCCGGTTACCATTCCATGTTGGGTTCAGAATTACAGGTTATCGGAAGCATGGATTTGATGATTGAGGGTGCTGTAACCAACCAGCAGTTACGAAAATTACCTGCAGCGGTGTGGAGTCAAGCAAACCTTTCGTGCATAACTATCCCCGCGAACCTACGCAGAGTAATCAGAACCTGTGTGACAAACATATTCCTAACGTTTAGCGTGATGCGCCGCACCACTGAAAACCTCATGCTGAAAATACATATGATCAATCACTAGGGGTTCCACTGAACAGGTATTTAGACATGATTGATTGATAACATGTGTCAAGACACCGAAGCATTTTTGATCATAAGAATTGACTTTCCTCTCCTAACTTTTTAATGAAATATTTGGTGAATATTGCTTCAAACTACAGGGGGTTCCTTAGCAAGAGTGGGAAATTTGAAAGTCATATGAGGTCACGAACACAATGCGAATAAGTATCCCACAAATTAACTTTCAAAACGCTATACGAGCTTAGATTTCTAGATTATGACACTGAAGTGCACGGACGGCATTATGAAATAATCGGGTATTCGAAAATGAGCAGCCCTTACCAGGAGTTATGGCCACAAGAGGTCACTCTTACCAGAAATTAATAAATGATTGATTGGTTGCATAAGTCGCTTGAACTCTTGTAGCATTGACATGCAGTGTGTGTTGTGACACAGCTTCTGTATGATCCAACCGTATCCTAAACAAATAGTCAATGAAGCATGTCCTGCCAGAATAAGTCCTTCCTGACAAGAATAAGAACATTCTGCCCAGTTCCGCTCAATTGAAATATTGTACCTGCATATTTATAATTTTCCTCTTTTGCTTCTGAGTGAGTCTCATTTAATTCTGAATGAGTGAGCGTGACCTTGCTTTGAGCGAATTCCTTTATTCATCATTTATTCAGCAATTCATGCAAATTCTTTCCTTTTTCAGGAGGAAACAAAAACTATGCCAGAAAAGTGAAAGAATATCCAAGTTTAGTGTTTACATTTATAATTTTTGCAACTCTTTCAATCCTCTACACATAGTTTTCCTCACATTCAGCTAACCTATGCGAGTAATCAACCGTGGTGCTAGCGATTAGCACGGGTGTAGCCAGGGTGTTTTGGGGATCGAAATCCCCTTTTTTTAATTGTAAAAAAAGCATTTATTTGTATCATACATTTCATAGCTTGAAACATTTCTTAGACCAGGGGTGGCAAATTATTGCACGCGGGACGGATCCAGCCTACTGCTGGAATTACGACTATAGTCTTATGGATATGAATTTCCGTTGAATAACATGTCATAATGACCCTGATTGTTACTTCTTTGTATTACATGGTCTGTTTTTATTCATAGTTTCCAATTTGAGGTTCAGCCTCCAGTCCAGTAACCAAGTCTATCATCTGTAACTGGCCCACTCAGAAAAGTAATTGCCCCTGTCTTAGTACTTCAAGGATCTTGAAAACCTACGTTTTCTAGGCTCCTGGCCGAACCTGCCAGTTTTACTTTCAACTCTGCGATTAGAAATTGCCGAACCCGCCCCTTTGAAAACTCCTGACTACGCACCTGATTTACCTGGATGCGGCACCAATTGATTGTTTTGTTGTGGAATCACGGCGGTTTGTTGCAGTGATTTTTCATTCCATGGGTGTATTCTCATTCAATTTTCGTTGCTCCAGATGCATGTGAATCAAGATGGCGGACACCAGAGCGTAGTATGTGTACCAGGATTAGAGCTAGGCCATATTTTATTCCAATTTTCCTTATTTTGGTTCTATTATGAGTTCGGGACTAGCCAAGTGACTCCCGTAGTATTTGTACGTGAAATTATGGCCTAATCCTAACCTGGTACACATATTACATTCCGATGTCCGCCATCTTGGTTCACATACTTCAGGAGCTCTTGTGTTTGAATATTTATTTTGTTACAGCAGTGGTTGGCAAAGTTTCTTAAGTGAGGCCTAAATAGTAAAATGTAAAAAGGTTTCAAGGCCCAATAATCATCACATTAGGAACAGACTAGCACACCTCTGCCAAGATTTCGTCGAAATATTGAAATTTACCAATTCTATAAACTTGTTAAGGGGCAATTAATTTGTTTAGTTGAAAATATTTAAAAGTACAATTGTTTGATATATGAACAAACCATCTGGCAATAATTTAAATGTAATGATGAATTCAAAATTTTTTTTGTGTATCACTGCGATAATTGAAATTTATTATAAAATACTTGGCGGCCGACGATTGGGACGCGGCCCACAGTTTGTCAACCACTGTTTCACATGTTTGTGTGTTTCACCACAGATTCACTTTCAATTTGTTTGTATGGTTTTCACATTACTTCATGCTCTTAAACCAGGGGTCGGGAACCCATGGCTCGCGAGCCATATATGGCTCCCAATACGTTTGAGAACGCGCGCCCAGCAAATGTCTATGTTATGTAAGATAATCACCAGACAGGCATTGTGACAAACAAGGGGAGTCTGGAACATATATTGTGACATCACAAAGCGATATAGTTTTAAAAACACTACGGAGATGCTTAAACGAAAAAGGGTGATGAGTATCGTAGATTTCAACTTGGGCTGCATGTGAGCAACCGTTCAAGGCCCGCAGCGACTACATGCAGCATCAGAAATCACATTAAATGTATATTGACATTGTATGTGTTGACTTTTGAGTAAACGTTTCAGGCCTGATTAAGTTAAGAAATGTTATATGGCTCGCACGGAAATGCAATTGAAAGTATGTATATTTTATGGCTCTCTTGACCAAAAAGGTTCCCTACCCCTGTCTTAAACCAATAATAGCAATTCTTCTCTATATTTATAGAAGGTTTCGGGAACTCTTAGATAGTTTTCAGTCAGCTCAACGTTTTCCAACATTTTTCATTGATTCCCCCTTTGCTATTTCGAAACTCAGTATTTGCACTTAATTTCTTCGACCTTCATTAGAACCTCAGCTAGTGTTATGCTCATACATCGACGCTTCAAAAGTATGCGCACCAAAGCAAACTATCCTGAGAGAATATGCCTTGGTACATCGGGAGCACCCATAAATCAGTATCATAGTAATGATAGAGAACTAAAAAAAATATATCAAATACTGAAAATTTCTCGTTTCAAGATCTCCCCAATTGGGAAATGTGGAGTTAGATCATTTTAGTGATCCTTCATTACTTACCCAGGGAAGTGGTTGAACCCCTCCCTCCTCTCAGACCCTTGTGACCCTCGAAAATCACCCATTTTTGGCCTCCGGTCTAACTTGGCTAAGAACCCCCCTTTCCAAAATGAACTGTTCTTTGGGGCGGGGAAGAGGTCATCTATCCTAAAGTAATGCCCTATCGTAAAGAACTCTCATTGGAGGTCCTGAGGCGATCGTATCTTCTCCCTCTTCTCACACCCACAAAAAAATGACTCAAGATAAAGAACTTGAGGCCACACACAAACAAGATAGTATTAGAGAGAGAGAGATTTTCGTCAACCGGAAAAAAAAAAACAGTCATAACAATAAATAATGGTAACAAAAAATACACTTTTTTCGGTATAGACTGGAAGGAGCGATACGACCATGCGGTCATCGGAGTCAGCTCCCTCCAAGTTTACACTGATAAATTCACAGTAAAATATGACTATTTGAAGTGGTTAAAATTCATGAAACAAAATTTGAAAAAAAAAAAACGAACAAAACAAAAAAAATAGACTAATTGTTGTTGTTAACATCTATATATACAAACACACAATTTGCCAGTTTTATTTCACTTTTTATTATTAAAACGGGATTTACATAAATGTTTTTGATTTGATTAAACAGTTATAGTTCGTCTTTTTTCTAATTTCTTCATCTATTTTTAGTTGCTTGTAAACAGCCAATTAAGTGAATGATGATATAAGTACGGTTTTTGGCGAAGGGGATTATCGTTCCCACTTGTTGTCCTTAGGATTAATTACTTATCATTTTGGATGTCAGACCCATATGCTATTCACTATTGATCCATTACATGATTTTTTGATTTAAGACCATGGCATCATGTTGTGGAAATATATTGTTTCTGACGGTGATTTTTGTGTTTTATGTTGGTGAAAGTGTGACGGGTCTAAGGTGGATTGTGCTTGGTATATTTGCGTGACACGGGATTTATATGAATGTTTTTGGAGAGGAATGCCAATGAGGCAACTTGATTATATGGCAAACAACGACATCTCGTCTGGTCACCAACCCAAATTTCTAAATTTTGGTTTTCCATTAGTGATAGAACTAGTAAGAAAAAATTTTGTTATGTCTTCGACTGACTACCTGCATTGGTATATATGCCATTTTTATGGGTGTTTATACGTGTCAAGATTGATAATTATGTTGGCCGCCCAGGTCATTGTGTTTTTCAAACCTACATTTAATTTATTCTCCTTACTCTACTTGATCATAGCAACGGACATCGGGTCTGTCATTATAATTTTTCAGTAATATTTTCAAAATTTACATTTTTTGACCATGAAAACACAAAGTTCACATAGAAAATTCGCTTACAAGAAACTAAAAGGTATGTTGTCACAGGGCTTCGTCATTCCAAAAACGTATAATCAGTCAAACAATCGAAGAAACCAGACGATATTTCGAAAAATTCGATTTGGAAAAAAGCTGAAAATCACTCCCACAATCACTTTTCCATAACCTAGACTAGATGAAAGGCGAGATTTGTCTGACGTAAATATTTGTCATACGGAATATAGAAAAAAAAATTCCAGACACGTGACCTATTTTTGGGCCAATCAGACTCTGGAATTGACTCCACTCGCGACTCTAAGTTTAGAACACTGCGGCTGGGCAAACACCAATCCGTGAGCAGTAGCAGCATATTCAGGGATTTCCCTACACCCCCTCTCTAATTTCAAGGTGTTTGTTATTTGTTTGTCGGAAGCATAGACTTGATGGTGGGGGAAGCCGTAACCGACCAGCAGTTACGTGAATCACCCATCCTCTTGCACATAGCCAACCCGCATGGGATTCGAACCTGTAATCCCACGCAGAGTAATTAGAGCTGCGGTGGCGAGCGTATTCCTAACGCTTAGCACGATGAGCCACACGCCGAGCCTTCTGTTTTTTCTAGCAGAACTGGGATTTCTCTGATTCGGCATTGCCTTAGCCAATTCATTACTCCCTCAAAATAATCTGATGGGAGTGCGTATTGTAACGCTTTCTTCTTTGGTCTTGTACACTAAATCAGGGATGTGCAACCTTTATTGCAGAAGGGCCAGATTTAAGTAATTGGGTGAGGCCGCACCTTCATTCGAAACCTTTCAATAGAAAAAGCTAGTTTTGCTAATATGACACTCAAGCACTGGCATGTGATTGGATTTGCTCGTACATACCAGATAATTAAACTAAAAACTCGTTTTGCGGGCACTCCATTCAAAGTTTGCACTTCTCCACGGGCCGCACAACAGGTCTTCGCGGGCTGCATTTGGCCCGCAAGCCACAGTTTGCACCCCCTGCACTAAATTAATAAATAAAAATTTTTTCCTATTTCAGCTCTCTTGATCATATCACAAAGCATAGCAGTCTGGCGGAGGGCATAGAACGAACGCAAAATCCATTGAGGAAGATTAAAGAAAAAGAGCGCCAACTACTATTGCAGAAATTTCTTCATGATAAGTTAAAGTTACAATTGTATGCTTTGTATGCTGTTCAAGTCTTCTGCTGTAACAAGGAATTCCCGAAAGGTATGCGATTTATTTATACAACTTAGCAAGGTCTTTTGCCTGGGCTCTTGCTTGTGACCCATAGAATATCGATTCTCGGCCCTAGAAATGTGAGCGCATTGTGATGGAGAAATAAAGATATTTAAATAGGGCGAAGTGAGAAAATTCATAGCACTTAGTGGCCCCCTTTATTATATAAAAGCGAAAGTAAAAGTTTGAGGCCCAGTGAAGACATTTGCTTGTTTCCCCAGAGGAATTAATCTGTGCTCAGTTTGAGAAGTCCTGAACTGAGACCTTTTCTTGTGGTTACAGGTTCCAAAAATTTGTAGCTCTTCGTGACCTCACTATTAAAGTAAAAGTATGCCAGATGAATTAATCTGTGACCCTGTATAGAGTCGAGGGCCCAGTTTGAGAAGCCTTTAACTTAGGCTTACCATACGTTCCGTTTTAGGCGGGACAGTCCCACATTTTAGCGTCTTGTCCCTGTAGCCGACTTAATACACAGACATTCACCAATTATCATGTTCTCGATACTGTTGTTGCTGTGTAGCGTACCGATAGCCTACTTACTGAAGGTGGATGCATAGTTTATTGTTAGAGGATAATTGCTACAATTTGTTACGCGTAAGCATCGCACGCCAAAAGGGTGCTTAACGTTAATGTAAATTTCTTTGTATTTTTCAAACTGAAACCGATATTTAGACAGACAGCGCATGAACTCACGATGACAATATGGTCAATGAAGACAGCCGGGATGGTTTTAAATGTAGGCCTCTTATGTAAAATCAGTAAATTCAAAGTTGAAAAAATCACAGCTTAGGTTTTGGAGGTATCCCTATATGGTATCCCTACTTTAACTGAAACCTCTTCCTGTGATTTCAGGTCTTCTGCTCCGATTGTTCAATGGTTTGTATGAAGAAGATGTTGTTGATGGGAGACTTACTATGTGTGGAAGGAAGATGTTAATAAACAGTATTGTGGAAAGGGAAAGGCATTGTTTCAGGTCGGTACCTTGTATGTGTGGCACATGCCATGTTATTTGAGGTGCTTCGTTATTTTAAACACATGTCTTAGTTTATCTTTGTTTAGGCCCGTCAGTGCCTAGTTTTTTGGCATGTACCATCAGTTTTATTGAGTTGGTGCCCTGTTTTATTTGACATGCCATGGTTTTAGTACGGTTGGTGTCTTGCTTTTTGGAACATTTCAGTTTTTTAGATGTATGCCATCGTGTGTCTGATCGATGCCTTGTATTTGACATATGCCATGGTCTGTCACGTTAGTGGCATGGTGTTTGCCAGGTTGGTGGCATATGCCATGGTTTGTTCCAGTTTAGTGCTTATCTTTTTGGTACATGCCGTAGTGTGCCAAGTTGGTGCCTTGTTTTTGTCACATATGTGATAGCCATTGTATGTATCGGATCGGAGTCTTCTGTTACATATGCCATATCATGCAATTTTTTCAATCCTCCACTTTTGGTTGAAGGCTTCATTTTGATAAAACTTCAAACATTGAATTTTTGTTTTCAGATGAACAAATGGCTGGCTTAGCTTCGTGAAGCTGAAACAGATGACGAAGAAGACAAATAATGTTTGAGATTGTTGTGTCATAATCAGCACTTATGATGTCATAATCAACCAATGTGATGTAACAATCAGGCAGTGTGATGTCACGCTATTTTGTGCAGTACTATTGGCAGAGAATCAATTAATGTTGGTTTGTGATGTCACAAAACAAATATTGTGATAAAACAAAAACTATAGTTGAATCACAAATAAACAAAATACTACAATGCACTATATTGTAAATAAACTTCTCTTCCAATTTTTGAGGACCACCTTGTAAATATTATTGTTTTTGTCTGTCATAGTTTGTGAGTTCCGTTAGTCTGCCATTTTCCCGAGAATTATTTCTGCTTTTTGATACCAATTTTTTAGTCTTTTTATGCTTTGTAGTGAGTTTTATAAATTTTGTGGAAGTTCAAAGTTCAACACTACAGTGATAAATTTATGAAAAATTAGATTAGTTGTCATTTAGAATGTTGAAATCTCAATCTATTAAACAATTTTGAATTATGGAATGTAAAATAATTCAAATTGTGGTAATGCATCAAACATTTAGCGTCAGAAAAAGATGTTGGTTGTTCAAAAAGTGTAAAGAATATTTGCGCTGGCTTTTGATATAGAAATTTAATGCCTAATCCTGTAAAACATTCATTATAGGGAGGGGGCTTTCCAATAAGCCGTATAATGGCTGTATAGCAGTGGTTCCCAACCTTTTACGCCTCGTGGCCCCCTTCAGAGGATTTTAGTTCTCATGGCCCCTGTTTATCTTTCCAGTGGTATTTATAGTGTTATTTTGATTGGTGGAATCCAAATCCCATTATGTTCAAACAATTCATGCTCAACAAAGTGAAAAATCCTTTGGAATAACATAACCTTATCAGGCAATGAAACTAGGAAAAAAGTAAAATCAGTTTTCTCCTGGCATGGTGGCCCCGTCTAACTGCTCTGTGGCCCATTTGGAGGGCCACGGGTCCCCGGTTGGCAACCACTGCTGTATAGTTTTACTTTGTTTTAACATTATTTTCACCAATAATCTAACTCTCTGCGTTGATTTTGTCTTCGTCCAGTTTTGAAAAATGTTTTTTTGTCATAATTAACTACAATCATGTATCTATTGTACTGTTTATTTATTTATTATATTTACTGGAAATTCGAACTATATGTATTTGTGTGAATTAGATGACCTGATGGACTCAGCTACTTTCCCGGTTAAATAATGTTTTACCTTAACCCCACGCCCACAATCTTACCCAGGTAATAAATTAGGCAAGCAATACCTTCCAATCCTGCAGAACAATGGTTCCCAAACTTTTTAAGCCACGCCCCTTTTTAGAATTTGTCAAGCCACGCCCCACTTCAAAAACAACCAGCTGACGATAAGCTACAAATAACAGATAGTAAGGAGGAAGTATGCTTTATTCAAAAAAACATGTTGAAAATACCTGAATGGAACGTAAATGAAAAAATAATAAAAGTTATTAAAACAAGCAAAATTCAGAAAATATTTTTGATCAGATTTTTGCCCCCTCCGGCAAAAAAATTGTCTCCGCCCCATTGAGCGGTGCGCCACACCGTTTGAAAATCACTGCTGAAAAAGCCTAATTTCGAGTTCAATTAGTGTCTAACATATCCATCTCGGCCTTGTCAGTGTGGCCATTTTGTTTCCAAGAAAATCTTTCGACCTTTGACCCCATCCCGATCCCTGAATAGTGCCCGATACATACTAAAAAGTATTTTCGATGAGTATTTAAAGTATTGTCATCTTTTTATAGAATTATAGTGCTTTTTAAATGTTGCCACACAGCATGCTAAGATTATGCGGAATTTTAGAGCAAAAAAAAAAGATTTTTTTGAAAATGTCATTTTTGTAAAAATCTTTGTACTGAGATTAAGTGTTTGTTGTTACATCATAATTAAATCTGCAATGTATTATTGTGATATCACAACGTTTTGAATAAATGAGTGAGAAATAAGAAAATATCAACATATGTATGTTTTTGTTTGTGTCTGATAAGATGACCTGGTTCAGTGGTTAAATTGAGGGTTATAGTTATCCTATCATGCTTATTTCGCGTATAAGGAAGCATGGCGGGTTGAAGCTAGGAGGACTAATATCATGGTAATAAGAAATAAAGTCCAATTCAGCAACTAGTAAGTTAGAGCATAATACTGCCGCCATTATGAGAATACAACATAAGTATCTTACGGACATAATTATGACCAAGTAAAAATCTGCCAAACTGTCAGCCAATCGTATCTCATATACCTGATCACGTGATTTGCGCAGAATTGCATCGGCCATGTTGTTGTCATGCGCAGACGGACATTTCAACCGGAAGTATGTACTTGCCTTGCGCAAGAAAATACCGAGATTTGATTGGCTGATTGAATATTTCTCAGCCTGCGCAGTAGATTACCGGCCATCTACTTGCCATGCGCAAGATTTCTGGGAAAACGACCGTTGCCAGATAAATTTGTAAACAGATTCTAGAAGTCTGGCAACGTTCAAAAACATAACATTTTCGCGCATGGCAACTGCATGTCCGTTCTAGCACTGCGCATGTCACATGACTTCGAAATTTTCTCATTGGGTAACTCTGAGCCAATTGAAATAGCACACGAAGTTTTAACATAAAGAGTTGAAATTCCTGGAACAAACACAAGAACAAAGACAAAAAATCTCGTCATCCGATCTGGCGTAGTCAGTAAAACGACCAAGAATTAATCCTGTCGTTCGAGTTCAATACCAGACCCATCCACTCTTTTCTTCAGTCGTTTTGAAGTAATCGGAAGATAAGTATCAGAGGTTAGAACGTTTTCTTCGTCGGCCGCTGTGGCGCATTGAATCTGTCGTTTTCAAGTAATCTCATTGCCCAAGTTCAAACCCGGCCCCCTACACTTCTTTTTCAGTTGTCTTGAAGTAATCGAGAGATAAGTATTGGAGGTTAGAACATATTCCCCGACCACTAGCGTGGCGCACTGACAATGACGCAGGTGAGGTGTTCACCTGGACCTGGGTTCGCGCCCAGGTCCGAGTTGCCGATGGAGGCGTCCTCTACTTTGACCTACGAGACTTGTCTCGTGGTCCGGGAGGGGGCGGCGATGTACGGAACTCGGGGAAGTTGCCATTCAAATGTGACTCCCCAAACCCCAATGATCCTGCAGAGTCAGTGCGATGGACGCAACGGGTGGTCTTTTTCTGGAATATTTTTAATAATATTAGCAACAATAAAAAGCCGGGATGATTTCATGTTTCGAGCCGAACGATATCTTATCTTACATTGTGCCTTTGTTCTCTTGGCGCACTCTCTTTGTCTGCGTGAAGTATGTTTCGAGCCGAACTATATTTTACATTGTTCCTCCGTTCTCTCGGCGCACTCTTTTTGCGCCTTGCGTGGAGAGCTATCGCTTGGTGGATTCGAACCCTCTAGTCTTCGGCCCAATCTTCTCACGCCTAACCCAGTGCGCCACCACACCATCTCAAGCACAGAGATGTAATCCGGGTATTCATCTCACGAGGGGCTGAACTTGTATACGAAAAATAACTCCAACTACTACGAACTATTCCCTCGTCATCCGATCTGGCGTAGTCAGTAAGACGACCAAGGAGTAATCCTGTCGTTCGAGTTCAATACCAGACCCATGTACTGTTTTCTTCAGTTTTCTTGGAGCAATCGAGAGATAAGTATTAGAGGTTAGAAGATAGTCCCCGACCACTAGCGTGGCGCACTGACGAAAACGCAGGTGAGGTGTTCACCTGGACCTGGGTTCGAACCCAGGTCCGAGTTGCCGTAGAAGGCGTCCTCTACTTTGACCTACGGGACTTGTCTCGTTGTCCGAGAGGGGGCGGCGATGTACGGAACTCGGGGTAGTTGCCATTCAAATGTGACTCCCCAAACCCCAATGATCCTGCAGAGTCAGTGCGATGGACGCAACGGGTGGTCTTTTGTGAAATATTTAATAATATTAGAAACAATAAAAGGCCAGGAGGATTTTATGTTTCGAGCCGAACGATATTTTGCGGCGTGCCTCTGTTCTCTTGGCGCACTCTCTGAGCCTGAGTGAAGTGTGTTACGAGACGAACGATATCTTACATTGAGGCTCTGTTCTTTTGGTGCACTCTCTTTGCGCCTTACGTGAAGAGCTATCGCTTGGTGGATTCGAACCTTCTAGTCTTCGGCGCAATCTTCTCACGCCTAACCCAGTGCGCCACCGCACCATCTCAAACACAGAGATGTAATCCGAGTATTTATCCCACGAAGAGCTGAACTTTTATACGAGATAAAATTCAACTACTACGAATCCGTGAACTCTCGAGATCCTCTCCATGTTGGACTCGAACCTAGAATGTTCGGCACAACTTGCCAACGCTTAGTCCGATACGCCACAGCACCGTGCAACGTCCAGCGATTTAATGCCTCTTAACTAATCGTTTTGATCTCTGATATCTCTTGATTACTCCAAAACATATGGAAAAGTAATCTTTTCGTTTGGTAAATACCAAAATTAAATCGCTGGACGTTGCACGGTGCTGTGGCGTATCGGACTAAGCGCTGGCATGTTGCGCCGAACATTATAGGTTCGAGTCCAACATGAAGAGGATCTCGATAGTCCACGGATTCGTAGTAGTTGAATTTTATCTCGTATAAAAGTTCAGCTCTTCGTGGGATAAATACTCGGATCACATCTCTGTGTTTGAGATGGTGCGGTGGCGCACTTGGTTAGGCGTGAGAAGATTGCGCCGAAGACTAGAAGGTTCGAATCCACCAAGCGATAGCTCTTCACGTAAGGCGCAAAGAGAGTGCACCAAGAGAACAGAGCCTCAATGTAAGATATCGATCGTCTCGTAACATACTTCACGCAGGCAGAGAGAGTGCGCCAAGAGAACAGAGGCACGCTGTAAAATATCGTTCGGCTCGAAACATAAAATCATCCTGGCCTTTTATTGTTTCTAATATTATTAAATATTTCACAAAAGACCACCCGTTGCGTCCATCGCACTGACTCTGCAGGATCATTGGGGTTTGGGGAGTCACATTTGAATGGCAACTACCCCGAGTTCCGTACATCGCCGCCCCCTCCCGGACCACGAGACAAGTCTCGTAGGTCAAAGTAGGGGACGCCTTCTACGGCAACTCGGACCTGGGTTCGAACCCAGGTCCAGGTGAACACCTCACCTGCGTTTTCGTCAGTGCGCCACGCTAGTGGTCGCGGACTATCTTCTAACCTCTAATACTTATCTCTCGATTGCTCCAAGAAAACTGAAGAAAACAGTACATGGGTCTGGTATTGAACTCGAACGACAGGATTACTCATTGGTCGTCTTACTGACTACGCCAGATCGGATGACGAGGGAATAATTCGTAGTAGTTGGAGTTATTTTTCGTATACAAGTTCAGCCCCTCGTGAGATGAATACCCGGATTACATCTCTGTGCTTGAGATGGTGCGGTGGCGCACTGGGTTAGGCGTGAGAAAATTGGGCCGAAGACTAGAAGGTTCGAATCCACCAAGCGATAGCTCTTCAAGCAAGGCGCAAAAAGAGTGCGCCGAGAGAACGGAGGGACAATGTAAAATATAGTTCGGCTCGAAACATACTTCACGCAGACAAAGAGAGTGCGCCAAGAGAACAAAGGCACAATGTAAGATAAGATATCGTTCGGCTCGAAACATGAAATCATCCCGGCTTTTTATTGTTGCTAATATTATTAAAAATATTCCACAAAAAGACCACCCGTTGCGTCCATCGCACTGACTCTGCAGGATCATTGGGGTTTGGGGAGTCACATTTGAAAGGCAACTTCCCCGAGTTCCGTACATCGCCGCCCCCTCTCGGACCACGAGACAAGTCTCGTAGGTCAAAGTAGAGGACGCCTTCATCGGCAACTCGGACCTGGGCACGA